CCCGGTCAACGAAGACCCCATGCGTTCCGTACCTGCGCGACGGAACATGCTCCCCCCGTTGAGCGACGGTGTTGCTCAAAATTTGACCGTGCTTGAGTTTTCGGCTGCTGGCCGCTCAGGGGATTCCCCTTCTCCGGTGGGAAGCGGCGCCAACTGCCTCACGTTGCGCCTGTAAGTGCCCCGGTTGGTCCGTACGGTGACCGCTCGGATGATGTTGTCCGATCCTGGATGCACACTTTCGACACGTCCGAGATGCCATTGGGATGGCGGAAGGTGGTCGTCTTTCAACACGACCAGAGATCCTTCTTTGATCTCGTGAGAACCCCTGGTCCATTTCGTCCGCACGTTCAGTTGTTGGATGTACTCCTTGTGCCATCGGTGCCAGAAGTCTTGCTTGACCTTCTGTATATGTTGCCACCTTGACAGCCGCTGGGTTGGAGTTTCGCTGAAATTGGTCTCCGGCATGCTCGAGAAAGAAGTGCCAATCAGGAAGTGGGCAGGCGTTAAGGCGGAAGGATCGTTAGGGTCAGAGGATAGAGCGGTTAGTGGACGGGAATTTAGAATCTTGTATATGCTGTTGCGTGCTTCCATTACATCCTGGGCTGTGTTCTTCCCAACCGCAAATCCCGTAGCAGCTATTTCTCCATATATACGGGCCATGATTATGTCGCTGTTAGTGATATTATTTGATCGAGCCCAATGTTGTGCTACAACTTCTGCTAATAATGCGCGTGTGTGCCATGAAGTATACATTCGTTCGTTAAATTCTGTACTGCATGTGTCCCCGTAAGCAACCAGCACTAGAGGCATCAAACTATCATTACTTGAGGTGAGCAATCTAGAAAAGTTTGCCACTATTGATGGCACTCCTCTTCTACGAGCCTGGATGATCCGTTGTGCTAGAGATAAATGTTCTGCCATATTTATTCCGGGACAGTTGAATCAAGATAGATAATGGAGGTATCAGTTTAGGAAGATTGAGCTTAGTCTTTAACAAAAACTAAAAACGTTAAGGCGGAAGGATCGTTAGGGTCAGAGGATAGAGCGGTTAGTGGACGGGAATTTAGAATCGCCTCGATTTCGATTGCGAACGTATTGAATTGTTCGAAGGTAAACAATTCTTCCCCTACCACACGTTTCACGTGATGCTTAAACGTTTTGACCGCGGCCTCCCACAACCCGCCGAAATTTGGAGAAAGGGCTGGCATGAAGTGCCACGAAATTTCCTTGTCCGCGAGGAAATGTTGTACCTTGCCGTCCGATTGCAGGGTCTGATAGACTTCGCTCATCTCGTTGTTCGCGCCTACGAAATTTGTGCCGTTATCTGAATAAATGTTTCGGCAGAGTCCCCTTCGGCTGATGAATCGTTTCAAAGCAGCGATGAATGCTTCCGTGGTCATGTCGCCGACGACTTCAAGATGAACAGCCTTCGTTGCGAAACATACGAAAATCGCCACATAGATTTTTATGCGGTTGCGGTTTCGGTATCGTTTCTCCTTTATGTAAAAAGGCCCGCAATAATCTACCCCGCAGTTGTAGAATGGACGATTTTCGGAGACGCGTGTCGCGGGTAAGGAGCCCATCACGTAATTGACGGCCGGTGGATTTACGCGGAAGCACTTGATGCATTGACGAACGATTCGTTTTATCGCGTTTTTGCCGTCAATGGGCCAATATCGTTGTCGTACGTTGGCCAACGTAGTGTTGATCCCGGCGTGGTGGCCTTCTAGGTGGGCGTGACGCAATATTAGATCCGTGATGTGGCTGTTCTTCGGAAGTAGAATCGGATGTTTCTGCTCGTATGGTATCGCTGCGTTCTGGAGGCGACCGCCGACACGCAATATTCCCTGGTCATCGAGGAAGGGATGCAGCGAGAGAAGTCGGCTCTTCGGATGCAACGGCGTCCCCTTCTGTAGATCGCGAATCTCTTTGTCGAAGGCGCCGGCTTGAACGAGTTTCATGATCCTTTCGTTCGCGTTCTGCAATTCTTCGGCCGTCAAGGGCCCTTCGCGACGATGACCTTTCCTGAATCGGAGACAGTACGCGATGATCCGTCTTAGCTTCGTGAGGTTGGAATACCGATACAGGAGTTCTTGACCGTGCACTGTTGTGGTCGCGAAACAGGCGTGAGAACGGGTTTCTGGGACTTCTGACGCTATGGTGAATATAGACTCCGGCCAATCCGCGACGTCGTTGGCGAGCCATCGTGGTCCATGACGCCAGATAGAGTCGTCCAGAAAATCCGTTGGCGTTTGTCCTCGCGATATCAAGTCTGCTGGATTGTCAGCGGACTTGACATGATGCCACGCCGTGATGTTCGTCTTCGTCTGTATTTCAGACACTCGATTCGCCACGAATGTCTTTAAGGTACACGGTTCCTTGTTCAGCCAGTTCAAAACGATAGTCGAATCGGTCCAGAATTGCGCGGTGTCGAACTTGAACCCGTTAATGTTTTTAACCTGGGAGAACAACGACGCGAGGAGGACGGCTCCGCATAGTTCCAACCGCGCGACACTGACTACCCTTAACGGAGCTATACGCGATTTTGCACATAACAAGCTCGTTTTTATCTGACCGTGTTCGTCGATCGATCGAACATACAAGCAAGCTCCGAATGCTCGCTCGCTCGCGTCGCAAAATCCATGCAGCTCTACCGTGCGAACCATACGTTGGCTCACGTGACGCTCGAACGACGCCTCGGTCAGCGATTGCAGCCCCTTCACATAGGTTGTCCACTCGGTGTGGAGGCTGGCCGGCAAAGATTCGTCCCAAGCCAGTTGTAATTGCCAGAGACGCTGCATGAAAATTTTCGCGGTCACGATAACGGGTGCCAATAGACCTAACGGATCGAAGATCTTCGCGATGGTCGAGAGGATTGTTCGCTTCGTGGTTCTTGTCTCGATGTTGGGATCCACAGAATAAACGATGAGATCGTCGCGCGCGTGCCATGAGACGCCGAGGGTTTTGACTGTTGCGTCTCCGAAGTATTTCTGGTGGATCTGGTCCTCCGGTATTCCCCTTAGAAGTTGCGGTTCGTTTGAAGTCCACTGCCGAATGCGCAATCCACCGCGTTGAAGTAGCTTGATCGTTTGGTTACGAAGATCCATCGCCGCTTCGTAGGTGTCCGCTCCCGTTAACAAGTCGTCGACGTACATGTCTCGCTGAAGGATGGTCGCGGCGATTGGAGCATTAGCCCTTTCGTCGTCGGCTAGTTGCTGAATGCTCCGAACGGCGAGAAATGGCGCGGAGGACAGTCCGAACGTGACTGTCTTCAGCTCGTACGTCTTGATCTTGCCGCTGTCGTCTCGCCACAGGATCCGTTGATAACGACGATCTTCACGCTTCACGAGAAACTGTCGGTACATTTTCTCGAGATCTCCTGTTAAGACGTAGGCGTGCGTCCGAAACCTCGCCAGGAGTGTGAAGAGGTCGTCTTGAATCGTCGGTCCAGTTAGAAGGGCGTCGTTTAGCGAGAGTCCGCTGCTCGATTTCGCGGATCCATCGAAAACGACGCGAACCTTTGTGGTAGTGCTGGTCGGTTTCATGACAGCATGGTGAGGCAGGTAGAAACCCTCCGTGTCACGGGGTTCGACTTCACTCATGTGTCCCAGCAAGAGATATTCCTCGATGACATTCGAATATTCCCGTTTCAAGTCTGGATCGCGGCGGAGTCTGCGTTCCAGAGACAAAAGACGATTTAACGCGCGCGATCGCGATTCGCCGAGTTGCGTCTTCTTCTCATTGAACGGGAGCGCGACGATATAACGACCGGTTCGATCCCGCGTAACGTTATCTCGAAAATGCTGCTCGCATCCTCGTTCCTCCGATGAATAATGTCGCGTTTCGGAGAGCTCTTCC